GCCTTCAAACGTTTCCTTGGAGAATTGAAGTGGAGTGGAGCAACTGTCCCAATATTTAAAAGGGGATGGGTGACGGAATGCTCTAATTATCATGGGACCACACCGCTGTCAACCTAAGAGACTTTTCTCCTGGGTTATCCTAGATGGGCTGATGCACACAGCTGATGGAAGACTTCGCCCAAATTAAGCGGACTTCCGGTTGGAGTACTCCTGCCCAAACAAAATCTTCATTCTTAGTAGGATCATTGCGCAATGCCGACAATTCCAGCTGCCTTGATCATCAGTTTCTTCGATTTTAAGACTGGGACTGATTCACTACATCGTCTGACAATGTGGCAAATTTTAAAATGCTCTGTAAAACCTGCGCGCATATTTTTCATTTCGGAAGTGATATATAACGTCTGGTGTCGCAGTTGTAGGAGAGCAATTTGAATGGTTTCCTACTATCTGCGAGTTTGCGAGGGAGCTGGGATTTCGCCTTTGCTATTCAACACTGTTTTTAACCTTCTTCCGTAAAACAGTGCCGACCTCTAAAAGGTGGACATTTTTATTTTAAGGGGAAAGAACAGTTCAAGATCCCCGGCTAGATATCTCGCTGACCTGGAATATGTAGATGATATTTTTGTGAATAATACGCGTGCGGGCTCTGTCATCTGACGGCTTACGTAAGCAACACAGCTAGAAAGCTGGCATCTTCTTTAACGTCCGCAAGTCAAAAGTTTCGAGGTATCCGTCTGGTGCAGATGAACTAGTGGAACAGTGAGGTGAAACCTTCCAGGTGGTTTACCAGTTTAGGTTTCTTGGATCTATCATCTCCAGCGATGGCACTAACTAGCCAGACTTAAAAAGCAGATTGCTCTAGCCTCGACTGCTTTTGGAAACCTATTCAATCTTTGGGCTGAGAAAGGAGCTGCTCATGCAACGGAAACCCGCATGTACTTTGCCTCTGTCATGTCAGTGCTGCTGTAAGATATAGAGACAGTTTTTCTAACCAAGGGTCGAAATACGGTTAAACGGAGTGCATCAGCGTTGGCTTATACGCATGATAGGGTGAATGGGCAGGACGATATCAAAACTGACTCTATTCTCTTCCGGGCATAACTGATCACGGTAGATGTGGAGGTTCAGAAAAGAACGTAGGTCCTGTTAGATAAATTGATTTAGCGTACACCATTTCCTACATCTCGCCAGGTTCTCGTGTTGGGACGGAAACACGGCAGACGTCGATCAGGAGGCCAGCATGTAACGCGAAGGAACAGGACAGAGGCAGGTCTACATGAGGAATATATTATTCTGCGATGCATTAACCAGTTCCTTTTAGTAAAAACGTTACGGATATAACGAACATCACAAATAGCTGAAAGTGATGCTTTAAACAAACACAACAAATACAGAAGGACCGCTTCAGAAGATGGACTGATCAATGCTGGTAAGTACTCAACGGTTGCTTCCGAGATTTGCTATTTCCCGCCGTTAATTTTCCGTGAACACTAGAGGTTAGTACAGATCCAGCAACCAAACTAGAAGACCAGAAAGCCTTGCTACACCTCAAGGGGAAGAAGGCCTGTGGAGTAGACTGAATTTCTTCGAAGTTAATTAAGCATGGAGTAGATCTGCTTTCAGAGAGTAATTTTTCTTTTTGTGATGCATGAACAGGGACCTTAGAGCAAAAGTGTTGAAACGCTGGTGTTGCGGATACAGCAGTTATTACATACCATATACGTTCTATTCATGAAAACTGCTCGAAATTATGATCTCAACAAACAATAAAAATATGCTTGAGTGCTAATTGATTGAGTAATAATAATATTAGTGCAGTCAAATTTAATTAACATTTTGCATAATTTCATAGATGTCTGAAATTCAAGTTTAAGACATGCCTTTTCACCGTAAATTTACAGTTGCTCAAAATTAAAGTTCATTGATAGATTCTTCCGCGACTCGAAACGAGAAGCGGCCATGGAAAATGAATGAATGAATGAGTGATAGATTCTTTCTTTTCTCATTAGTCTAATTTCTTGCTGATGTTAGGAAGAACGAAAAACAATCAAAATGACACATTTCAGTTAGAGTAAAGCGAAGTGGGTCTCCACCATCTTCCGTGATAGCCGTAAATAAAAAGCATGAATTCGGAAACGAGTCAGTGAGGGACAGACGTATTTACGGCATTTGCAAGTTTGTATAAAGATTTGAATTAAGATTTTAGGTATGTAATTATTTTCCGCGACCCGAAAAGAGAAGCGGCGATGAAAGATGAAGATGAAGATGAAGGTATGTAATTATTCACAAGAAAAGATGAAAAATAGTCATACTATTTACTTTTTGAGAATGACGCATTGGGTAATAGTTTATGAGTCTATAGGTTTAATCGACCGCATCAGCCACCAATAGCCCATAGCTAGATTTAATTGACTACCTCTCATAAATAGCAGCATTCAGATCTGGCATCAAGTCACTTTTATTTAAAGTGAATCGATATTCAACCTTTTAAAGTTTGAACTACTGCAACTTTTTAACAAAATCGCATTAAATAATGAAAGATAATTTTAAGCACAGAAGCTTTAATTCATGTAATAGATAACGTTTGTTATCCTGAAATTCAATACGCGAGGTCGATGAAAAGGATATTGCACCTTTTAGCCATGACAGAAGAAGCTGCAGCTTATGGGTGTTTCAACCATGATTAAGTCCAAATAATTTATTGTATGAAGGATAAGTTCTTTGATTGTGAAATGCTTTTCCTCCAGATAGAGAAATCGCGGAAACGACGATTTGAACCAATCTGATTAGGATGCCAGATGCTGAAATCGATTAAATCCGGCCTGTGATGCTTAAAGCTTTGGACGAACGAGGCGTGTTGCGCCTGTCAAACTACAGCGATTGCAGGGAAGACACCAGTGGACTGGTGAACAGGGATGGGATGAAAAAGGGAGATCATAGTCAGTACTCTCGAGGCATCGTCGTTCTGAGCCTCCGGAGGGAAGTCTACGCAAAAGCATTTGAAAGGAGGTGCCGCTGAATAGCCGACTCCAAAACCTAAGAAGAACAGTGTGGCTTTCATTCATACTGAAGCATCTCCAATCAGATCTTCGACCTGGGTAGGTTGTGAAGAAATTGTAGAGATTGCTCATCTGGTTTACACTTGCTTTATTGACTT